TCTCAATGACCGACTCAATTTGAGTCCAAATTTTACCTCTAATCGATCTCATTAAAAATCTGCATATTTAATCTCGTGCTTCGCCCTAATCCAAAACAAAAAGAGTTCTTTTAACTAATAGAACAATTTCCTCCCTAAATTGATTATGAAGGGCCATTGCTCATTTGATTTCCGTTTCCATTGCTGTTTATCAAGCGTATTCATAAATTCCTGATTTAAATTCGAACTGGATTTCGTCGCATTCCTTTTCTTTGGCCTTCAAAGCATTCTTTGATGGTTTTTTTTTGGTTTTACACCCCATTATCATGTTGTAAGCACCCATTTGTTTTGTAGTTTAACCCCATCCCCGTTTTTAGTAATCTTATTTTATCGAGGGTTTTTAAATTTTGCTTTAACAGAATTAGCTCGCTACATTTTTAAAAAACGTTCGTTTAATAATCAAACTTACCATTTCGATTGACTTGTTAAGAACGTTAATTCTTCACTTATTATTCTGAAAAAAAATCGTTTTGAAAATTTAATGAAAATTTGCATGATGAACGATCAATATTTCTGAAACAAATCGTTCTCCTGACTTTTTGAAAATTATGTTTTCAGCCCTAATGTCGTTTGAAATTTTCATGGAAGTAACTTATTCAAATAGCAAGAAAATTGAATAAACGATTTTTCAGTAAAACAAACTAGCACATGCATACCGAGCACTGTACCGAATGTTTTTACATTATTTAACTCAAAGCTTAGAAAAATTTGCATGCTTGAACAAATGAATTTTGCCATTTTGTTAGTTTTGTTCACAAAAATTTCGGGTACCGAATTTTTTAACCCCATATTGAACCATAGTGTTGTTTCGGTTTTCGGCTCTACTTATTCTAACCATACCATTTGTGTTTCTGGTTGTTTCGGGTTTTGATCTTGGTGTTGTTAATTGGCGATTAAGCATTGTAATTTGTGTTTCCCAGTGGCTCTCGTCCTCTCACTATTCTGGCCCAAAATTTTAGAGTTAGTCAGCAAAAAATGGATATCTCAAAATATGGTAGAATTGTCCATCTAGAGTCAAACATAGATTTCGATTTTTTTTGAGGAGGAGAGGGAAAATGGAGTTTCAGGTTATCAAACAATTTCTTACAATTTTATGATTTTTTTAAGACAATCAAAATGATTTACCCGGCTTCTTTTTGGAAAAAAAAGCTTTATTTGGTCAAAAATACTGCACCGCAAATGTTTTTAAAAAACAGCTAGAAAACGCGTTAATATGTTTTGGACAATTTCTTTTGTAGCTTGCATTCCTTCTGCAAGCTTTTTAGCTTGCATTTCTACTGAAAGTACCAAAAATCTTTTTGTGGCTTGCATAATTTCTGAAAGCTACCAACTTAACAAGAGCGCTATATTAGAAAACCCGAGACCCTTGTTAAAATCTTGGAGGCTTTGGAGAAACGGTGATTCAAAATGCTGAAAAAAAAACCAAAAATGGAATGAAAAAAGAAAACAAAAAAAATTAAACTGCTTTGAAAAATAGACGTTATTTTAAACTGTCCACAAAAACTTGTTGAAAAATTTGTCAACTTTTTAGAATTCGATTTTTTTGATTTTTGCCAAACCACAAAATTGACAGTGTTTAGTATCAATTTCTGGACCACAAGCAAATTTTTGAGAGAAAAGTTTTTTGACATACAATGAGAGCCGTGACAGGTTTTTTGGATCAATCTGGAAGACAAACGGGTTTTTTGGATCAATCTGAGTAAATTGGTTATTACAAAGTTGGTTTAAAGGGTGGCGTCCCCTATGCTTGAAGGACCGAATGCTTGAAATTTATTTTGGCTTACTTTCAGCCAATCAGAATTGAGTATTCAAAATCTCAAAGTAAATCGTGAAAATCTCAAAGTAACAAAATAAATCTAGGCCATTAGTGTTATTACTGACCGATTAAATAATAAGCAGATGAGTTTTCAAGACTGAAAAATTCTTATGATTTTGACCTCATTAATCTTGATGATTATCTGAATAATATTTCGGTTGTAACCAGCAATTTGTAATATTTTTGATTATTTTCGACTGATTTAATACATTTTCTGTTAATATTGACTTCGATTTTGTGAAAAAGCCATTTAGCCAATAGGAACGCTTAGAGATTTTGATTGGTTGAAAATTTTCAAGCATTCGGTCCTTCAAGCATGAGAACCCTCCCCGGTTTAAAGGCTTGCTGCCAAAACTTTAAATTACAGATTTCCTCCTGTAGATTACATCTTATCTCATAATTTTTCTGCCAATGTTTTAGCGGTGGGCGCGCGCTTCCCGAAATACATATATTTTTGACATTTTGACAAAAATTTCAATGTTTTGCCAGAATATGAAAGGCAGCAAACCTTACATCGTGGAGTTGTACAAGTAGCATTTAGCATGCAAATGAAATAGAACCCTGTTCAACTGTTGCAAAACATTCCTAGAAGCGAATTTGTATCTTGAGCACAAAAAGAGCCATTTTTTTGATCATGTTTTTAATCCAAGGTAGTGAAAAATTGTTTTTAATTTCAAAACTGGAAAGAAGAAACCTTATCAAAAAATGCACCCGTTTGATTGTTTTACCAAACAAAATTTCTAAATGCTGTTATGCGGTTTTACTTCGGCAGTAGCCAGAGAATCTGCAATAAGTTATATATTATTAATTGATGTAACTCTGGTGAAAGTCAGCAACAATCAATGGCTATAGACCATACTTTAGATTCAGTCAGCTGTGATATGGATTTAGATTAAATACTTATCTTGCATACTCATAAAAAACTAGTCGTGATTGTATGGATTTAAAATTACAACCAACATTCACTCAAGATCATAGGATATCACATGGAAGTAGAAAAAAATAGCACCCAAGAAAATTAAAATCAGCAATAACTTGACTCAAAAATGGAAATAAGGTTTCATTTGTGGTATTAAAGTTATTTTTGCTCGAAAATAGTCAAAACCGCGCGTTTGTCATCGAATGTTACATTTATTGGTAAGACTTGCATATTTTGGCAGAAGGTTTACAGAGTAATCCTGCAATTTTAGCCGAACAACTTGTAAAAGTTGCAAATTCGGCCGATGCTGAATTTTTAATCTTGTTCCGACCATTGAAAATGAGGACGAACTTGTTATTCCGGTGTTTTTTAGTTTTTTTAAGTTTTCTACGCAAAATCAGTTATCAGAAAAAACTTTCGGAAAGGGTTGAGTGATATACCAAATTTTCTTTGAGTCGGGTTGCAAACGATTTGAGAAAATCAAAAACTTGTCTCAATATCGAAAAAATCAGGTTTAAAAAATTTGATATTTAGTCTGAGTTCGAGCAAATAAAGCAAGCAAGCAGGCTTATAATAGCATAAAAATTCAAGTGGTCTATTTTTATTTCATGATTTTGTTTTTGTTATTTTAAGTCATTTTTCTGTAAAGACTGTTGTGCTTTTTGCCTGTTTTGCTGTAACCGTCAAATATGCTTAAGTTCTAGTTTTTTTTGTTGAAATCCTGTAACATACATGAACTTTAACATTCACCTTCGTAAGTAAAGACATTGAACTTTGATTAGTGGCGTGATGTTGATATTTATAAATAGCCTGATGTTAAGTAAAGTTCATGGTATGTTAGATGCTAGTCTTGTCAATACTGATTGAGAACACAAAAATTATATTCAATCACCAAAACCAAGCGAATTAACTTTGAATAAGTTTTCAATAACATCAGGGGACGTCGGACGGACTAACAACACGCATCCGAAAAATAAATTCAATTGTATAAGAGCTCAAATAAAGTGCAATATCATTGATATGCGATAAATCCTCTTATCACATCTCGCAGAAACAAAACGACTTTTTACAAAACGATTTTTTTGTGGTTTTTAAGACTATGGTCGGACCATTCTGTCTTTGTTAAAGTATCGCGACCGTCGTCAACCAAATTCAAAATTTAACAGAATTTTTTGATCTATTTTCCGCTATTTTGATCTAATTCCTTAAGTTTCTTTTGAACGTTTTTTGATCAAACTCAAACTAGTGATAGAAATTTCATAAAAAGCAAACAATAGCATCGTCTTTTTAAAAAAAAATTTTGCAGCAAATTTTGTAGACAAAAATACCATATCTCTTCAAGACCCAAATTCATTTGTTAACTTTTTATCAAAAAACATTGATAACAGAAGAAAAGTAAGTTAATAGTATAAAACAGTCTGCGAGCACTTGCCATGATGCAAAATATTCAATATTTAGGTTTGTGTGTGTCTCTATGGTCCTATGTTTCTAAAGTTTTATAGTATTCTACTGTCTTTTAAAGTAACACTTGGACAACAATTTCCAAGTTTTGTAGTTGCAATATTATGCAAGGAAAACCTCTCAATTTATGACACATCTAGATCCTTGCAAAGTACGTGTGATGTTCTTGTCGCTGAATTATAAATAATGTGACCAGGCGTGGATCTAGAAACTTCTAGACGGGATTTTTGATTCAAAAACAATTACAAATTTTAACGAATTTTTTTAGGTTGACCAAATTGAATTTCCGAGGTGCTCCCATATTTCTATCGGAACCAGTTTTTTCTGCGCCTCAGGCAATTTTTTATGAAAAAATAGACCAAAAATGACGTATTTATGCATTATCCGATTTTTTTCAGCGCGCTTATCCCTCTAAATTGATATGTATGCCCCCTTAATTCAAAATTAAACCCTTATTATTTGGTTGATCCATATTTTTTTTTGCTTTTTTTTACTAATTCTGTGGTTAAATTCACGTTGAAGCACGGACCCTTTTGATCAAAACTGTCCAGAAATTGTATCAAATGCGGCATTCGTGGCAGTTTTTTCTCTAATTTTTTTTACCAGATAAATTAATTTTAAGTTTTATTGCGACATTATTTTTTTCTGTTCATTGACACACTCATCAAGTATGGGTTTGAGAGCTTTTGTTGAGTCGATGAAACTGAAACGCTATCTGTTTCAACGCAAAACTAAGATTGCTCAAATAATAGCAAATTGATGCTGTTTAACCTACTAATGATGTCTGATATTTAGTTAGTATTTAATTATACAACATTTACATCAATGCATTTTTAGTTCGATCAGCCGTTTAGTGTCATTAATTGTCTTCTTGATCATCAACACCTGGTGGTTATTTTTTAGTTTCGGTGAAGCAGATAAATTTCGGACGGAGTTAGAGGAGTTTGTCTCGGCGCTGACGTCATCAGTCGCTGCTGCACGACTAGTCTTCTCGGCTGCTGCTGCTGCTGCTGCTGCTGATGTTGTTGCTGCTGTTGTTGTCGGTTACGAAGTGGAATTTGATTCGGCCTGTTTTCCTTCAAAGTCAACAGTTTTTTAGCCGCGTTTTTCAGCCTCGACTGGGAAAAACAGTGAACAAATCCACTGCAGGATGTAGCTCCGACAACAGTTAGAAGCACAAAGTGTTTCCAGAGCAAGCCAGTTGTAGTGCCAGATAGAAATGCGGTCTCTCGATCAGTGACTGTGACTACAATCATGGAGAAATAACGTAAGGCTTGAGGTAAAAATGCGAACGTCATCCTGACAACGTATCCTTTGATTACTGTTTTCTCTTTTTCACTGTTGCGAAGAAGCTGTTCCATCTGTGAGTTTAGAGCGACTGTGTTGCGCTGCAACCTCGACCTCGGATCGAAACTGAAAAAAAAGAATAGTTTTTATAGAAAAAGTATCAGCGGGTTTTTAGCTATTTGAAAACATGCATAAACTTAGATTTCATGAACCCAATTCACTTATATTGCGCTTCATCATTTAGGCTTATACAAAGTTTAAGAAAATTTCGGGGATGTAATTGACCTGAATAAACTTAAAAAGGAGGATTTCATTGAGAGGATTTGAAGATTGGACCAAAATGTACTATTATCTCGCATTTTTATGACAAAACGAACTTTTCACAAGCAAGGACGCCAATATACAAGCTGTTCTGCTCTTTATAATAATTTACCAGAATTTTTAAACTTTTCTGACTAGGGTAGTTTTTTTGCCGCAAGCAACGTGCACGGTGGGCCTCGAACCAGAAACCTTTGGAGTGAAAGGCGAATACTTAGCTAGGGGAGAAAAGTCAGGATTTTTTGTGTTTTGTATTTCAATGGAGTATTTCACAATACTCACAAACTAGGCGGGGATATCTTGCGTTTCTGGAGTCTCCTCTCGGCTCGGATGTACTTTTCCAACTTCCAGAACACGTTCGAGTAGAGGAGGAAGAGGATGAGGAACCAGACGAGGGTGGAGTGGCCGATTACATGTTGATGCACGTCGATCCTCCTCACGAAGGCCAGCTCCCTCTCCCGTCTGAAGTCCACACACAGGGACACACTCACGGCTGTCAATCAACGAATATAAAGTTAACAAGAGTATCCCGATTCAGTGCAAGAAAAAAGATGCCCATTTTATTCCTATATCATACTTTCTTTTGAAGTATACGTTTTATCTAGTTTTCTGATAGATTAAAGGTGTATTTATTGGAAGTCTAATGAAATGAACGTTTAATCTATCGGAAAACTCTAGTAAAAAATTGTTAATCAAAAGTAGGAATCTATCAAAACGAAAAAAAAAATCAAAAAATTTGCAATAAAGCGGAATTCTTTAGATTACCCGGGTTGACGTACATAAAATAAAAGTGCTTGTCATACAATTTCATATATGGCGACTATGGAAAAAAATGCTTATCATACAATTTTCATACAAAATTTAAGAACTGTATTAAAAGATTTTACAGAAATACTTCTGTTCTATTTTCATCTTTCGAATCTTTCTGCTCAAAAAAACATGATTTTAATTTTGGTTAAAAAAATGCTTATCAGAATATTTTCATATATGAAAATTGTATGATAAGCATTTTGCTATAGAAAAAATAAAATCTTCTAAATTAATTTAACGATGTTTCTGGATGAATTTACATGAGTTTAGAAAAAAATTTCGTTGTAAGAATGCATTTTGACTGTTAAAAACATAATTTTAATTTTGGTCAAAAAATGCTGATCATGTTATTTTCATATATGAAAATTGTATGATATGCATTTTTTCATAAGCAAAAATACAAATTTGAGGTAAAAAAAATTTAAGCCCTTTTTTGGTTGGAAACTTGCTTTTGTGCTCAAATATAAATTTTTGCGAAAAAAAAAATTTGCATGCAAAATTTGACTTTTTGTGTTTGTAACGTAGTCCAGGATGAGTTTTTCATCGAAAAAATCCAAAAATAACAAGAAATTGTTTTTTTTTGGAAACACGATTATCATTTTTTTATTTCGTTTGTAAATTCATTTATTTATTTATTTATATATAGGGGCAGATCTAGGACTTTCTCGAGGGAGGGAGGGGAGTGGCTGGAGTTTCCAAAAATGTTGTCGACATTTTATGTTAGGAAGACCAAATTTCCAATCCTAGAGCTCCCAGAACACTAAAAAGACCCTATTTTGACATAAAATTTTGCGCCTCAGACAATTTTTTGGCAAAAAAAAAATGTAAAAAATGCCGTTTTGGGCACTTTTAGGAAAATGTTGTCCAAAAAATGCGGGCGCTCCTCTTGAATTTTTTCAGCGGGCGCTCTTGAATTTTAGTATATATTGGCGTCAAAGACCCCTTGCTTAGTGAGGCTGTTGAATCCCTGAGTAAAAGGCATCCACCCCCCACCCTCAAGTCCACTCCTGTCTTACATGTATATACCTTCTTATATAAGTATATTTAACAAAAAACAACAGCTGAGAACCATGCGCTTGCCTCAGTCATTCGAATCGGTGAGAAAAGTTTAAAAAATAATACAAATATTAGAGTAATTTTTTTGAACTGTTCCAACTGAAATGCAGGTGCTGATATTACTTTGAAAGCATTTAAATGGTTCTTCAAAAAATTATTCTCTTAACGACGAATACATGTGGCTTTTAAAAAACTTAATTAATTTCTTTTAAATGCAAGTCAGAATCCTAAAATTGTTTCTTTTTCCTTCTTTTTGAGCAACGGTTTGAAATATTGATTTTTTTTCCAAAACCAGTCTGTACAACTATACAAATATTGCTTTTTGTTAAGTTTTACCCAAAAGAGAATCTATTTCATTTTAGACTCTCAAACCACACATCTACAAATCAGAATTCTTTCTAAATTAAGAAACAATTGGAATAAATGGAAAACTCAAAATACTGAAACTTTGGTACACGCGAGACGCAAATTGTTTAATTTTATTTTATTTAGCGCAGATTGCTTAGAATTTTTAGAAAAAAGAAAAAAAATTTGAAAATTTAAATTAGCCAGCACCTCACACTGAAAATGATAAACGCTGACTATTTAACTCAGATAAACAGAAAATTCTGTGCAATATCAGTGTGCTTCCTTTTACTCATAATTTAATTTATAACTTGTTCATTTCGCATTCTGTGGGTCACATTCGAAGTGGGCAATAAACAATTCAAAAGCGACGTTGATCGACTCACAGAAAAGAGCCCGGAAATACTGGGGAAGCTTGAAACGTCAAAAAACGGACAGTTAGAAACACAAACCAATCTGAATAAAACCAAAGGTCAATTTTACGAGTTTCGAGGTGACTTCAAAAGCAAACAAGGCAAAATTTCAGAACTGCGCGGTAATTAAAAAAAAATGGGGCGAAACCTCCGAGCTTCAGGCTGACGGCAAGATAACTCGCGATAAACTTCCAGAGATTAGTGCAGAGATGCAAAACAATACCAAGAAACGCAAACAAGGTAACTTGGAGCTGAAAGAAAAGCTTCAAAACGTGTCTGAAGTTGTTACAAAAATTCAATCTGAGCAAAAGAAACAGATTGATACAATACAAAGTGATCTGAAAACAACCGACGATGAAAACTACGAGTTCAGAAACGTGTCTCAAACTTTATTAAAATTTAAATTGGAGCTGAAAAAACTGAGAAAAGAAATTGACGCAAGGCAAAATCTATCAAAATCCGCTTTCATTGATTCAAAGTTGAAGTTTGGCCTAGCTTTAATGCTGATATATTTGGTGTATTTCTGATGATTAAGAAAGTAATATTTGTGGATACCTGATTTTTTTTGCCAAATGCAAAATTAAATGTCAATTGATTTACGAACCTTCTCCGGTTAGATTCAGTTTCGTTCGAACAATTTTAAAATTTTTCCAAGAAAGTTTTTTTTTGGCTTAATCTGCCGACAAAGAGCAGTTTTGAGGTTAACTTGGGATCATTTTCTCAAAATTTGACCCAGGATTTAAAATTTTTACTTTGCAGGGATTGTAAGAAAAATTTCTGTCGTATTTCTAATAACGCTCTCAATTTTTCGAATATAATTTTCTAATATCTGTTGAAAATACTACTCTTCTCCTCTTCTTAACAATAAATTTTAAAAGCAAAAAAACTGTTTAAAAAGCAAAAAATGCAGCCAGTTCCTGTTGAAGTAGCACAAAAGGTTCCAATTACAGTAAATTGGAACCTAAATTAGGTTCCAATGAAGTAATTTTTGAGTTTTCCAATAACCGATCACAGTGCGAATTCTAAGGACATGTTGTTTGAAAATGGAGATTGTTTTTCGTTTGAGGGTATTTTCATTCAGAAACATGCATATATTTGGCAAGGATCACAAGTTGAAAAGTATTTGAAGCCCTTATCCCACGATGGTTAAAATGTCAAATTGTGTTTATTGAGTAGAACACTAACAATAACAGTTTCACCAGAAAATCATTTGGGTTATCGAGAAAAACTGAGTTTTTGGGAAAGAAAACTAGTATATCTCAATTTTTGAAGTTTCGATAATCATTGACAGCTGGCTTAAACCATCAACGCACTGATCGGTTTTTCATCACACTCCTCGGATCCTTAGACTCTCTACAGTAAGGAACATTGGATAGATGGAAAATTGGTCGGAACTTTCTTCTCCGTTCGGAACCCTTTGCTCAACTCTCAAAAACTTGTGAGATAAGTTGTTCGAAACTTTGGACTCACTGCTTATCAATTGTTTTGAAAAGTTGACCCACTGTCTGGAAAAAAATATCTCAAATTTTCGGACGGAACTTTTTGGACGAAATTTGGCTGATGGTCTTTACACTACAAAACGGATTGCGATTAAAATGTTAACTAATTTGAACGTACCCCTTGCATATGCAGTGTAATTTTCAACAATAAACTTCGCATGAACAAAAAAAGCCATTTTTGTTTTTTAAGCGTTTCATTTTCTCCATTGCTTTTCATATATTTTGCATACGTAATTGTTATAAGCGCGGCCAGGCGCTGATCTATGAATTTCTCGATGGGGGGGGGGGGGGGGGGGAGGGGAGCGGGTTTTCAAAAAAAATTGAAATTTTTGCCGACCTTTTTTTTAGGTCGACCAAATTGATTTTCTGAGCTCTCCTCAACCACTATAAAGACCTTAATTTGATAAAAATTTCTGCGCCGCTGGAAAATTTTTGAAAAAAAGGCCAAAAAAAAGGTGCTTTTAGGCACTTTTTGGAAAATTTCGACCAAAAAATCGCTTTCTCCCCCTCAAAATTAGTATAGATTGGCGCCAAAGGCGCCTATCGAGAAATTTTAAGGTTAGCCAGCCAAAAATGGATATTTCAAGATAGTACAAAGGGGGACCTTTGGCGCAAAGGGGGGACAAAGGGGGAACTATCCAATTCAAGCCTAATCAAAGTTAAGCTATGAGCATTCTAAGCATACAGCTAACAGTCAGTTAAAATAGAGTCAAAGAACGCAATGAAGCAAGAAAAAAGTGAAACGAAGTATATGGTTCAAAACTTATGACCTTGCTTTTTTTGGTAATCTTGATACTATAATTTTTCAAAATTCCGTTCTACTTTTAACAAAGAGAAGCAACGGAATGTGAAAAAAGTCAACCGAATGTTCTTTTTTTGTTTTCTTTCTCGAAAATCAATCCATTAAATGCTATGCAAAGTGCAAACTGATATGATTTCCTCAAAAAGTTTTAACTAACCTGCCTCAATTCAATTTGGAACGACTTGTTACACGGACGGACTAAACCTCTGCCTACAGGTTTATAGTACATAAACTATTGCCCCCATTAGTTGTCACAAGTTAGCCAAAACTTCAAATCCTCGATAACTTTACAAGGATCAGAAAAAAATGATCCGTAAAAATACCCAAAATTTTGACCCCAAAAATTGAATATGTTGAACTTTCGTCAGGCAAAAGCTACGCCAAATTAACCGAGTCGAACACTGACAAACTGCATCAAGAAGGTGAGCCTCTCACGCAGCAGCAGCACAGAAAAGTTAGGAGGATATAATCTCCAAAAATTGAATATAATCTCCAAATGTTTTTAGACAAAAAATGTTCGAATCTATTTAACTACTATACACCATAATTGCACAATACACCGGCGAAA